CGGCGGCGGGAACGAGCCGGGCGGGGATCTTGGGGCTTCCCCGCATGGCTCCCCAGCCACGTGCGCCTGGGACGGGGCCAGCTCGGGAAAGGGACTTCCTGTCCGCCCTTCTCCCAGGGGGCGGGGCACCCGGGTGCAGGGCCAATGAGGAGCCCTGCAAGGGGGCAAGTCCCATGAGAGAGAGAGAGAGAGAGAGAGAGAGAGACAGAAGTGCAAGTGCAAGTGCCTCTGTCTCTGTGTGTGTCTCTCTCTCTCATGGGACTTGCCAGAGGGCCATGGGAGGGCCGCATTTACATAGAGCAGGGAGGGCTGTTCGAGGGCCGGATTAAACCGGGCCGCGGGCCGCAAATGGCCCGCGGGCCGGACTTTGGACATGCCTGTGTTAAATGAATCGTTGCAGTTGTTACGTCAGCACCATGGTGGTTAAGTGAACCTGCCTTTGCTTGTCAGGCCGCAAAAGGTGATCACGTGACCCCAGGACACTGCAACCATCATAGATAGGAGTCAATTGTGAGGCATCCGAATGTACATCATGTGACCGTACGAAAAATGGTCCCAAGTTACTTTTTTCGGTGCTTTTTTAATTTCAAACAGTCACTAAGCGAATTGTAAGTGGAGGACTCCCTGCCCCGCTTTCCTGCTCTAAGCGCCCCTCCCTCTTGAGGCAAGGCTGGCCCCTGAATGAAACAGACACGCAGTTCCTTAGGCTCCTCTGCCTGCCCAGGAAAGTGGCACGGCCCATCTCCCGAAGGGGGAAAAGCGCTTAGCAAATTTGCTTCATGGCAGCTGTTTTTTGTTTTTTTTACCTTGACAAACTCAATGTTCAGCTTTCCTGTGAAGGTAGAAACCTCTCCTTGCACACTCAGCTTCCCCTTCTTGATGCTGATGGGGACAATCTCATCGTGGGCCGTGCTGTGTCCCACTCTGTCAAAGATGTCCAAGTCCTTCACCACCATGTGGCCGTTCAAACGCACATCAAATACCTGCGAGTTGAAAAGAAGACAGAATTGCTGTCAGCACGTAGGAAAACAGGCCCAGCCCAGCCCTGGCAAGTTTTCAAGCTATTCAAAATTCTCCTTGTGAAGAATGGAACAGCCACCCGTCTACACTCCTTGAGGAGGAATCCTGCGTAACTCAGTTGTTTTCAATAAATGTTGCACCAATAGAAATATTGTTGTATTAATGCTGTGCCTCATCTTGAGATGATGCCAACATCTGGAGCGGCTTATTGGACAAAACGGTATAGCCAAATCACTGGTAAAATAAAGCAGGCAAGTTACCTTTAGATATACGGTCAAAACTAATGTTTAAGGTTGTTCCCCCTCCACGGTCCTGGGGAAAACGTCAAGGATGGTAGCCCAATTCACACCCCTTGGGATGCACCCTCCAGCTCCACCAACCTTTAGCTCAGGGATGTCAAACTGCTGGCCAGCGGGCCGGATGCGTCTTGCCGAAACCGCGCCCACCCCAGCTCCGTCAACGGGGGAAAAGTCACCATACGTCGCAACACGTCACGTGACGTTGCAAGTTTGACACCCCTGCTTTAGCTGATGCCTTTCAAGTGGCGCTTTTGTTCATTCACAAAAAGGCCCAACTGCTGCTAGGAACCCCTCCCAGGAGCACTTTTTGGGTTTTTTTTACCTTCTGCTGCGATTGTGCAAAATAGACTTCGGCGAACTTCAGCACAAGGACGTAGTCGCCCTCTTCCTTGATCGGGACCTCGTAGCCAAAGGTTTCCTCATTGTAGCGTTCCGTTTGGTAGAGAATCTGATCCTCGGGGTTGGATCGCAAGATTGGCAATTTCATGCCATAGTCGGAAGCTGTATTGCAAGAAATAAATATTTTTTTCTAAGCATAATGTAGTTTACCTTTGCCCCTGTGAATGCGGCGCCCACATTTAAGGGTTTATCTTCCCTTTCCCTCCACTTCTTCTTCTCCTAGACCAGGGGTAGGCAACCTTGGCTCTTTTATGACTCGTGGGCTTCAATTCCCAGAATTCCTGAGCCACTATGGCTCAGCTTGGAAACCTCTCCCTTTCCCCTCAGCATGGCTGGCTCAGGAATTCTGGGAGTTGAAGTCCACGAGTCATAAAAGAGCCAAGCTTGCCTACCCCTGTCCTAGACCTCAAGGCATGAGTGTTGAACCTTTTGGCTTGCCTGGGCCGCATTAAGCCCCTTAGGCTGCATACAGTGTAAACTATACAGTACAGTTAATGTATATAAATAACAAATTTCCTTTTTAGTTTTTTTATACAATCTCACGGAGCCGGATTACTAGCTGTTCAGGGCTTCATGCGACCTGTAGGCTGGACTCCTCTGCAAAGCTTAAGGAAACGATACACGCACAGAGGCTACGAATACACAGAGCGAACGTGAAAGGCCTCTGCAGGCTCAAACCAAGCGGGCCACAAGGTATCCCGAGAGCTCTGCCAGCGACATTTGGTTTACGTTGGCTCAGAATCTACTGGCCGATTTCCCAGTGCTATGTGGCAGATCAACAAGGACTTTTGGTAGCTTAACAAAAACAGAGGAGCCGTTTTCTTCCCTCCTAAATTAAGCTGCTAAATCAAGAACTCTTTGACAAGGCCAGGAAGTGATTGGCGGGGAGGGAGCTTCAAACACTGGTACGGTACTGAAAACACAATCCCCTGCTGAGTACATTTTTAGCTGCATCTCTCTCGGGGGACGCTATGTCCACGTTTGTGAGCTGCCACTTTCCCCCAGAATCCAGCTGGTGGATCCTGGAATGGTAACCAAGAAATAAGAAGCTTTCGGGTCTGCTCCATATTGGGATGTCATCTCTGGATAAGAGGCAGCCACGCTTCTCTCTACGATGCAAGGCGTTACGTCTTTCTGCTTACAAAACTAAGATCCTGAATTAGTAATACAGGCAGTCCTTGAGTTACAACCAGTCACTGTTCAAAGTTATGACGGGCATCCCTAGAGTTACTTACAAGCCAGATTTGAAGTTCCGACACCTGCAGTTGCATAACGCTATTCTGGGTGCTCAGCCACCCCCATCCCCCGCATTCACAGCCCTCCCGTGGTCACCTCACTGCGATTTAGGTTTTATGCTGATACCCAGCATTATTTCTGGCTTCCGGCAAACAAAGTCCGTGGCAGACAATGGATTCGCTTAATGGCCATAGGTCGGCTTAATGAGTGCAATGATTCTCTTAATGACTGCCGCAAAAAAGATTGTAAAATCAGGCAGTCACATAGTGAACCACTAATGATTGGCAAGATTTATGACTGTCATTCATATGGTCATTAAGTCAAGTACTATCTGTACATTAGTAGCAGACTATATATCAGTGATGGCGAACCTTTTAGAGACTGAGTGCCCAAACTGCAACCCAAAACCCACTTATTTATTGCAAAGTGCCAGGGCCACATCAGCATTGTGGTTCCCTCATGGGGGGGGGCAGGGAGGTGCCTCTGAGCGCCGCCTCTGGCACACAAAAACTGGGGACGCAAAAATGGGCCACCGTGCTGCAAGGCGCAAAAGCGGCCGTGCCGTGGGGTGCAGATACAAGGCACTGCACCATGCAAGAACGGGGCAGGGCTAGTGAGTATCACGCAGGAACTAGCCCCGCCCCATTTGCAGCACGTGCGTGCTCGCGGCCCCATGCACGCATGCATGCATGTAAAATGCTTCCCCCTCCCTTTTCTTCCAGTCCACCAATCGACAATGGTTGGTGACCTCTGCTCTACCACCTCTACTCGAGCTTGCTAGTCGGCCGCTTTGCCGCCTTTGTGCTGGGCGGGGCTCCTGCTCCGGGCAGCAGTGGTGGCCTGATGCACCTGCTGCTGCTGAGGGTGGCGCGTGTGCCAACAGAGAAGGCTCTGAGTGCCGCCTCTGGCACACGTGCCATAGGTTCGCCACCACTGCTATATATTCTCAAACCACTTTGATACTGTAATTCCCTTCATTAGGTTATTTTCACTGTAAGTGTTTATGTTGTTTTCTTAAGGTTTATGCCAGTGATGGGAACCTTTTAGAGACCGAGTGCCCAAACTGCAACCCAAAACCCACTTATGCATCGTCGGGTGCCGGGTGGGTGTGGCCCATTGGGTGGGCGTGGCTGCGGTGGTAACGGCAGACTGGGTGGGACTAAAAACTTCAATCAATCCCCAACTTTGCGAGATCTTTTTTTTCCCGCGAGAAGTTGAAATTGGTTGATTGAACTTTTTTTTTTTTTTGTACACGGCGGCGGAGGCCTAAAGTGAAAAGGTTTTATAAAACCCAGCTGAAGGCCTAGGACTGGGGCGATGGCACATGTGCCCACAGAGAGGGCTCTGAGTGCCGCCTCTGGCACCCATGCCATAGGTTCGCCACCACTGGTTTATGCATTCCATGGTTTAAATTCTAAGATGAGAACTTCTCAAGAGTTCTTTTGACAGATGGGCAGAACAGATCTGCAAGGAAGCCTAAGTGCCATTTTACACAGCTGATTTCTGCTGTGACCTTGGGGTAGCTCTCCTCCCTCTTTTGTTCCGCATGTGGGAGGGAGGAGAAAGGAGCCACAAAAAAACAAAACAAAAGGAACTTCAGCCACCCATAGCCCAGAAGACAATGCTTGAAGAAATAATATTAAGACTGTGTAAAGGGTTATGACTTTATGACAAAATGTCTAACCTCAGCCTTATTACAGCCAAGCAGAAGCCTTCCATTAGCTATTTTTGGCATAAAAACCGTGGCAACTCCTGTGAGAAATGATAAGTACATTCGGTGACTCAATGACAGAAGTTGTGTCTCCTTTCCATGGACTCCTGCTAGAGGCAAATCATTCCATGTAGGCCCCCATTTGGGGATGCTTGGCCCTGCTCCCTGAAAGAGCCCAGAATAATAAAGTCACGGCAAAATCCAAGAAGGTGCCAAGCAAAAGTTGAGTTTCTCTGTGTAAAGTCCAGACACAGGGCTTTTTCCATGTAAATGTGGGGGAGTTTCCTTCCATTCTCTAACTTTTTAAAAAAATCTACAATTTAGCCATTCAAAGTTTAGAAACACAGCAAAGAGGTTTTTTTTCCCAGTAAGAACCAGCTGAAAAGAGAACCACTGGACAATCACAAGCCACAAACCAGCCAGAAGCCCTGAAGCTAAATACTTCCTCAAAGCAGTGAAAGAGAAGGCATGCAGGGAAAGCCAATCTCCCTGTACCCCAGCACCCCCTCCTGCTCTTACAGACAGCAAATCAAGGGGTGAAAGAATCGGCGCTCAGAGGAGGCACAAAACTTTATTCTCCTTCTTTTAGGAGCAAATGTGGACTAACTTGAAGACCACAAGCGAAAAAGAACTCCACTAAAACACACACTGAAGATTAAAGAAAAAGGAGACACAGGATATTTTCAAATATGGGGTGTATTTGATCAAAAACGGGGTAGGAGTTTAATGTGCATTGTCAAGTAAAACAAATGGACCCAGACAACGCGTTGTTTACCAAGCATTTATGAATTGTAAATGTAGAAAGCTAATAAAATATTATATAAAAAAAGAGTAGCCACACCCTATAACCCATCTAGCAACTTAGAAGGTTATAACTTTAACTGGGCAAGATTCTGTTTACGAGGCATAGGCAAATAAAGGATTAGATTCAATTGGGAAAGAAAAAAAAAACTGCTAAAATAGCCGTTTCATCATTGGGCTACATGTTGATTGTGTTTATACTCCTCTCAAAATATTGTGGTGGTCACAAGGGAGCTAGAGTTGTGTTGTGTTGTATTTGACTGCGCAGATGTCTGAAGCTATATCATGTAGTCTTTGACGCGCGATCACTGGAAGTTACAACGGCACTGAGAAAAGTGACTTACAACTTGGTCCTCGCACTTACAACCGTTGCAGCATCCCTGTGGTCGCAAAATTCAGGCAACTGGCCTGTATTTAGGCTGACTGCCGCGTCCCAGGGCCCCATGAACGACACCTGTGACTTTTCCAGCTAGCAAAGAGGGAAGACAGTTTTGCTTAACAACCCGCGTGGTTCACTCAACAAGTCCAGCGATTTGCATAACCTGGGCAAAACAGAAAGGCTGAAAAAAATCAGGCCTGGTTCACTTAACCACCTTCCTGCTTAGCCGTGGAAATACTGGTCCCCCTTTTGTGGCCGTTAAGCTGAGGACCAGCCGTAGGGCTAGATCGTGGGGGTGTCTTTTGGAGAGGCCCTGTCAGAGCTGCCACCCCAGGCTTGAACTTGGCATCTGCTGTTAGCCAGCCATGAACCAGGGGAGGGAGGCAGCCGGATGGGAGGGGGGGTTACTGACTCATCATACCTTCCAGAGACAAAGGTCTAAGGCAGGGGTCTGCAACCTTGACAACTTTAAGACTTGTGGACTTCAGTTCCCAGAATTCCTCAGCCAGCACAGCTGGCTGAGGAATTCTGGGAGCTGAAGTCCACAAGTCTTAAAGTTGTCAAGGTTGCAGACCCCTGGTCTAAGGTCTGAGCCTGGGCATGGGATACAGCAGTTCACCAACCAGCCCGCCATTGAAGAGACAAGGATTTCAAATATAATTGGATAATCGGGACCAGGGGAGGGAAAGAGCTGGACAGGGAAAGTTAACCGGGAAATTTTAGCCCATGAACTTCAGTTCTGGCTTTGCTATACCGCAGTGATGGTGAACCTTTTAGAGATCGAGTGCCCAAACTTCAACCCAAAACCCACTTATGTATTGCCGGGTGCCGGGTGGGCGTGGCTACCAGGTGGGCATGGCTACAGTGGTCATGGCAGACGGGTGGGTGTGGCCAGGGTGGGCATGGTCAGCTCAATGTTGTTCCTGGGGAGGGACGCCTATGGGGGCCGGGCAGGGTTGGGGGAGATCCAGGGGT